TGCTGCCACACCGAGATTTGAACTCGCGATCTCTCCCGTCAGGGCAAACGTCTTAACAGTTATTTACATGTTTATACTTAGCGACATCCCATTCAGCTAAAAACCGCCTCACGCACCAATCAGCATGCTAATCCGAATTGCCTTGATAAGTTGACATGAAAATTGCCGATATAAATGAGCCACAGAGGTCAAAAAAGGGGCACCTCCATTTTTGCCACCCCTAGTTCGTATTGTACCCCTTAAACCCTTCGAAGTTTTCCTGTAGAACTTGCTGGTGTTGTGACGTACATGGACATGGTTGGATCTTTGCGCGCAAGAGGCGTAATTCAACTTTGACCAACAATGTGCCTTCTAGTTGACGTTGCGTGTATGTCCCGCATAAATGATGTGTGACAGTTTATTGGATCCTTATGGCACTGCTCAAACGGAAGCCCAGACAACAAGACTCAATCTTATCCCCCGTCAGCACGAACTATAAATACCGTGCAATCTGTGCATGTAGCACCCCAATCTTTGCGTGTCTAACACCATTCTACGGTTACCTATGATTAAGGATTTTCGACAGAATTCGAAACGCCACGCAACTAAAATTCTCCTTCCAGCGATCGCATTATCTGCTTCTGAACTGCTTCCCGGAACTCGCATATTCGTTTCTGTCGGCAATATACTTGTGTGTTAAATTCAAAGAAGAAACTGCGACGAAAGCCTGGTTAGGTTTTCAGTGATTGGAGAAGATGCAAGTAGGTAAGTGCATTCAAACACAGGTGTTGTGGTTGATATCATTATAGTTCGCCCTGCCGACACTGTCCTTGTGGTCTTTCATGCTTCAGCATGCAAAATCCACGTTTCTTCCGTTGTTTCAGCTTCTCAGAGTATTTCAGTGCACAGTATCAGCCCGCTAGGTCATTTCAGAATGGCAGCGCACAAGTCTCTCAACGGTGACCCGAGGCATCTAGTTCAGAATCCCAGCCACAACGTCGAGCATTTTCAGTTGTGGCCGAAAAATAAGGCGATTGAGAGCGATATCGGGGTAAGAAATACTTCCAAGCCCTCTAAAGAAAAGACATGGGAACAGAAACCATCCGTAATACAGTTGGCCTTGCGCTGAATTCCGGGGAAAATCGAGTTAGGTTGAAGGTTAGTGTGAAGGTTAAATTTAGGGTAGGATTAAAGATTAGTGTTAAATTTTGGGTTAGGATTATGTCTAGGGTTTGAAAAAACTTGCCCGTACTGCCGTTTAGCGCAAGGCCACCCGTATAGCGTAGGCGAACGTTCCTATTCACGTGTCATTTTCTTGAGATTATATAAGTAATTTGGCCCGATGTCCACTAAAACTGAGGGCCATCAATATATAAAAATACTCTCTTGATACTATCCTGGATTTGGATTGTGAACTGAAAGGCAATTTTTGTTTTCCTGTTCGAAAATTTTGATTTTTAACAATAACATCCGTAAAGACACCTTACAGCCTGGTTATGCGGCTTACTTGGACTGTTTACTGATCCGCTCAATCGCATGAATTTGTGACTCGCCCGCCCGCTCAATTGATTTTCTGTTTCTAAAGCATGCAAGACTGCAGAATTTAATGGAACCAATACATCTTGCGAGCGCTCATCAGTTGCTGCCTCTCAGTGCATAACATGAGGAACGTGTGAGACGAGACAACAATTAAGTTCTTACAGAAAAAAAATCCATGTAACACAAAAAGATCATAGTGAATTGCCAACTAGACTAATCAGTAGTGTTAGCAACCTAAAATAAAGTGTGGGAAGCACAAATGGGGAAAACTTTTAAGGCAAAATGTAGGAAGGGATAAATGTGTAAATCTGGGAGCACGTGATTAACCGAACTCTGCGTTTGTAACAATCAGCTCTCTGATTTACACATGTCTCTATTCCCCATTTTGCCTTAAACGTTTTACCCACTTGTGCCTCCCACGTTTTATTTTAAGTTGCTAACATTGTTCATTAGCCAACCTGGCAATTTACCATGACCATGACAATGCTTTAAATTTCCCGTGTATTATTTTCGCAAAAGTTTTGCTTCTTTTACTTTGGCTCACCTTTAAGCAACCCTTTCGTGTCCTCAGCGAGTCTTACTTCGAATGATCTATCGACCTCCACCGGCCTACCTCATCTACTTCCCTCGAAATCCAAACTTCATCTACAACCGCAATTTGCTGCCATTGACGATCAACCCAGTAGTCTTTTCTGGTCGTCCACAGGGTTGAGAGTTCCGTTGCCCTATCAAGACAACCAGTTGTCGACACCCACCCCGCAACAGCCAGACTTGACAACATCGCCGTCAGTGCGACCCCCCTTTGATGGTCTCTCCACTACCGAGGAGGTGGCGGACGGGGAGATCATTAATGGGGATGATGACCGGCTGCCGCCGCTTAACCTCTCCGTCCTCGCGGACGCAGCCAAATGTGTCCAGATGGAACAGTCGTTGCGCGAAGCACGTGACTTTCTGGATGGACTGCTCACTCGGTTGTCAGTGCCGGCGGATCTCTGTACCTCTTTTGAGAATCTCCTTCCGGAAGATGGAGAGGAAGAAGAAGCGGAGGAGAATCGCAGGAGTGAGATGCGGCGCACAATGCCCACCAGACTCCCGGTGCCACCAGTTTCCTCACCCCCCGCTTTCTCTCCTGTGTTCAAGCATCTCCTCTCTCTACCTGAATCTCAGGTCTTGTCCGGAGTCAGCGGCCTTACGCCGGCCTACCGCTGTTTGATGGACTTGTGTAGCCAGGTCTACGCGGCTATTGATCAGTCAAAAAAGAAAGTGAGTATTGTCTATCTCTTCGATTTTCATTGAGTAAAACAGCATGCGTGTTGGTATGGTTACTTGCCCATAAAGAGGCCAGAAGAGTAGAGTAGCGTAGAGTTGCACTCGTTGGTTAACGTTCGTCGATCGCTAAGGGAACTCAGTCATCCCGCACTGTCTTGCGGCTCATTCTCGAGCCCCGTTAGCAGCCGCGCAGCGCCTAGTAGTTTAGGCAGATAGCATTGCCGGCAAAGACAATGGAAACTGGAACGACCATTTCTGGTTCATTAGCTGTCAGCAGCTAATGATACCCACCCCTAACTGTTGCACCACCCGACCCTCGAACTCGCGACCATTTGCTCAGAAAACTAACGCTCTAACTATTGAGCCACGGGCTCGTTATCTGACTAGTTTAGATCGGGAGATAGTGACACTGATTGACTAACGTTCATTTATCGCTAACGGAAGTCACTCGATGGGTACGATGGGTAGAAATGAGGGAACCCCTGCTTTCAAACTCTGCCGCCTTTTCAAATAGGATAAAAGATGCCAAGGTGTATGACCTTCTGCCTTCAAAGATTCTTCGGTTTAATCGAATGAGACGTGCGTATCCTCGAACATAAATCCCTTAAGTCTTGTCGTCTTCTTTCAAACAGTACCTTGTTGAGTTCCATTTTCCTGCACTTCGAAGACCTCACACGGTTCGAAACTGCCACTTAAACGATGGTTATGCGGAAAAAATCCAGCCACGTCTCGTGAAATTATGTAGGGATTTGTACTTAAACTATAGTTTGTTTGTTAATGACTGCGCTTCCCGTTAAAGGGAGGAAGAAATACGCTTTATTTTGAAGGTGACATGCAAAGGTTTTAGCAAAAAATGGCTTCATTCACTGAGACTAATAGGTAAGTTAATCAAATACTCAAAAAGCTGGAGATTTACATGGAATCCACATCTATTATGGAAACAGGTCTAATTTCAGCTTATGCATTCCCGTTTATTTATATGTGAGATAGCGTGCCCGGAATGGAGATACAGAGTGCTGATATGCCGATATACGGCAGGACATATGTCTCAAGCTTTGGCGCATAGTACGGAAAGACTTCGCAGCCATTGGAGTGGAGTGGATGAGCAACCTCATAAAGAATGCGGTCAGCAAATTTCTTGACCGTTCTAAAGCGTCGCTTTTTTTAATATCGTTTAAAAAACTTAAGAAACACCAGCAGATAAAAAAGGCATTCGGAGGATACTTTTAAAAATCAATAAGTATTTTTAAGCAAGGCTGGAAAAATAACCGGAAACAAGTCGAGAATGAGGAGGAGCATGCAGACATCTATAAGTCGCCAGATTAGACTTTGAACGTAACCGACG